GCGTGAGCGCCAGCTGCAGGACATTGTCGGCGATGGTGCGGCAGGGAAGGTCTCCCTCACCACGGACATTTGGTCCAGCCCGGCGCAAGATGCTTTCCTTGCCGTCACAGCGCACTGGATCACGACAGACTTTCAGCTGCGTCAGGCGCTGCTAGAGTTTGAGGAGATTCAGGGATCGCACACCGGGGTGCTGATTGCAGAGACGTTGGAGAAAGTCATACTGGATTGGGGGCTGAAGGACTCTGTGCTGGGCATCACGACGGACAAGGCCGAAAACAACATCAAGGCGCTCAAGATACTGACTGGCGACCCGGAGACCGAGGACGCCCGCAACCCACCAGTGTTGAACCCCGGATTCTTCTTCAGGTGTGTGGTGCATGACATGCCATGACGTCCCATGCCATGCCATGCCATGCCATGACATGACATGACATGCCATGCCATGCCATGCCATGACATGCCATGACATGCCTTGACATGACATGACATGACATGACATGCCATGACGTGCCATGCCATGCCATGCCATGCCATGACATGCCATGACATGCCATGACATGCCATGCCATGCCATGACATGACATGCCATGACATGCCTTGACATGACATGACATGACATGACATGCCATGCCATGCCATGCCATGCCATGCCACGCCATGCCTTGACATGCCATGCCATGGTATGCCATGCCATGCCATGCCATACCATGCCATACCATGTCGTGCCATGCAATGAACTTTCCCCCTTCAGGTGTCTGGCGCACATTCTGAACCTCGCGGTCCAGAAGGCACTTGGTGTCCCAGCAGTCCTCGAGCCGCTCAAGCGTATGCGGGAGATTGCGTCGTTCATTGGGTGGAGCACGACGCGCTCGGACGCGTTCGAGGACGAGCAGCTGCGACTGGCGGGTCAGGGCGGCCACGTTCTCCGCCTCATCAGCGACACCCCTACGCGGTGGGGGTCGTCCTTTGAGATGGTGGAGCGCTTCCTGAAGCTGAAAGATCCTATCCTGCTGTACTTCTCAGGACTCGAGGTATGGTTCCCAATCTACTGGGTTGCCATAATTCGCGTGCATGTTTTTATTCCATTCGGAAATGCTGACAGTCTCCCAGGTCCGCCCATGCGTATTACCCTCCCCAAATATGAGTTTCCCCCTCTGCTACTGCGTGTTCCTCTGAATCCCCCATTCCACAGTCGGCACGTGACAAGCGGACGCGCGAACAGGCTGCGCGTGTCCGCCTCGCGGACGCGCATTGGGACGCTCTGAGAGTTCTGGTGGAATTCCTCAAGCCTTTCCATGACATCACTACTGCGGCAGAGGGGTCGTTGTACCCCACTGCCGCAGCAGTGGTGCCGCAGTACAACCTGCTCATGGATGAGCTTGAGCGCCTCTACCACGACCCAAGTACCGGGGACCTGTGCAAGTTGTTGTCGGAGGCAGCTCTAAAGGTACTGAAGAAGTATGTGTACGGCATCAGCATGGAGCTGGCAGTGGCGACATTTTTGGATCCCAGGTTCAAGCAGCTGTACTTCCAGCTCGAACGGTGGGAGGGGGCCCACCCTGAGCTAGCGGGAGAGGCCGCTGGGGGGCGTAGGGCGGTGCGCGACGTCACATTGGAGCAGGTGGTGACATGGGTCAGGGCGCGCTTGCAGTCTTACCTGGACGAGCAGAGCAGGCGTGCGGTGGACGAGCACAGGTGGAGCGCGGGACGGGGGGGGGAGGAGTGTTGCCAGGGCCCGAGGTGGGGGGCGCTTGTTTGACATGCTCGGCTCGGCAATGGCAGAGGTTGAGGCGAGAACGGGAGTGGCCGCGCCGGACGAGGTTCAGAGGTACCTGCAGGAGGCGCGCTTGGACATGGACGGGTGTCCGCTGCAATGGTGGCGCACGCGCTCGTCGTACCCGGGGTTGCAGGCGATGGCACGAGACTACCTTGCCATCCCTGCAACCTCGGCACCGAGCGAGCGGGCGTTCAGCCAGGGGCGGAACGTGGTCACCTGGCAGCGTCACCGCCTGAGCACTGCTCAAGTGCGTGCATCCATGACTCTCAAGTCATGGATGGCACAGCGCGCCGACGGCAGCCTCCCACTGGCGACGTTGGATCGGGCCATGGGGGGGCTGTGCCTTGAGGGTGACGACGAGGGGTTGTGAGGCGTGGGTACAGGGTTAGCCCCTATGAACAGTTTTTCCTGTGACGTACATTCGTGTCCTAGCTTGTGCTATGCTCGGACCCAGCATTGAGCTCTAGGGCCATGCAGACATGGCATAATGATTGTTTAGTGATTGTGAACATAGGTAGATTGAAATGTGTGCACTGTATTCTTAGTAGGTTCCTCTGCCTCCAATGAATACCAACCCCGTGCAAGCAATCAAGTTAGGTGTAGCGTGGTGGTGACAACAAACCCCCTGAAATGCGTGGGAAAAAATTTATCCATGACCATGTTGCTGTCTCAACCCTAGGAGACAATTAGACGAACAACATAAAACTAAATTTGTAAAAAAAAAAACTTGTTTAGGCCTTCATGAAAGGGCGGGTATTGAATTACCCGCCTTTGAGCTATGCCGGGTCGGGTATACCCGGACCCGCCTGGCGGGTAATGAAATACCCGCCTAAAAAAACCGGATCCGGGTAAGGGTCCTGGGCATATTACCCGACCCGGACCCGTCCCGAAATTACCCGACCCGAAGTCGGGTATAGCAAAACCGGGTCGGGTCGGGTAATTACCCGGTTTTGCTCATGCCTATCCTCGCCCCATTGTACCCCTCCCGGCCACCCTTCCGCCCGCACCCCACAGGTTGGTGTTCCCAGGCGGGCACAGGTGCAGGCGGCCCGGTGCAAGCTGGGGGATGCGCACTGGGAGGTAGCTGAGGTTCTGGCCGAGTTCCTGAAACCATTCAATGACATCACCATGGCGGCAGAGGGGTCCTTGTACCCCACGGCCGCTGCGGTGGTGCCACAGTTTAACCTCCTCATAGATACCCTCGAGGCCTCGTTCCACAACCCGAGCACCAACGCGCTGCGCAAGGAGATGGACAGGGAGGGGCTGGTGGTCCTGAAGAAGTATTTGTATGGAATTAGTGACGAGTTAGCTGTGGCGACGTTCTTGGACCCTCGGTTCAAGAACGCATACTTCAAGCTGAAGAGGTGGGAGGGGGCGAACCCGACACTGGTGGCGGCGGTTGCTGATGGACCTAGGGTAGTCAAGGATGTGAGCGAGGCGGATGTCAAGGCGTTGGTGCGCTCTCGCCTCCAGTCGTACCTAGACGAGCAGCGCCGCCGAGCCGTGGGCACAGGGCACGAGGGCACGAATTCTGGCATTACGAGTGGGGAGGGGGGGAGTAGGCTCGGACAGGAGGGTGACAGGAGGGCCACTGGGGGGCGCTTGACGGACTTGCTTGGCTCGCAGATGGACCTGATGGATGAGGAGGCGGGTGTGCAGGAGGTGGATGAGGTGGAGAGGTATCTGGGTGAGCAGAGGCTGGCCATGGACAAATGCCCTCTCACATGGTGGCGCTCGCGCACCTCGCTGCCGGGGCTGCAAGCCATGGCTCGCGATTACCTTGCCATCCCTGCAACCTCGGCACCGAGTGAGCGGGCGTTTAGCCAGGGCCGAAACATTGTCAGCTGGCAGCGTCATCGGTTGAGCCCTGCTCAGGTGCGCGCATCCATGACTATCAAGTCATGGATGACGCAGCACGCAGACGCCAAACTCCCAATGGCACATCAGGGTGGGGGGTCAGGGGAGGTGTGTATTGAGGGTGATGACGAGGGGCTGTGAGGGAGGAGGGGCATTGGTCACATAGTGGGTTTGCTTAAACTCCCCTTGGTATGTTTGTTGCAGTGACAGGTGTGCTGGTTTGCATGCTACTTACCTCAAACGCTTTCATGAAGCGAGCTACAAACACACTCGAACACTACTTGGTAGAGTGTAATGCATCTTGGTAGAGTTGCTTCATTCCCCTAAACTTGAACAACGCGGTCAAAAGGGTCTAAGATGCATTCTCATCAGGTTCTAGCTTAGAGTAGCATTTACTGCTAAGTTGTACAGCCACCTAGGGATAGTCGGGTAATATTACCCGACTTTAATAAAAACCGGGTCGGGTATACCCGACCCGCCACACGGGTACTGAATTACCCGGAATTTAAATGCCGGGTCGGGTAACCTAATTCCAAACATTACCCGGAAATTACCCGACCCGACCCGACCCGGACCCGACTGCGGGTAGGGCAAAACCGGGTCGGGTCGGGTAATTACCCGGTTTTGCTCATGTCTAGTTGGCCCGGCCCGGCCCGGCCCGCCTGGCCCGCCCCCGGCCCGGTTTTTGCCCCAGGCCCGGCCCGGCCCGTTCCCAGGCCAAGGCTGGCCTGACCCCTAACCCCGGGCACGGGTCGGGAATTTCCCAAGGTCGGCCTGACCTCGGCCTGGCCCGGGCCGGGCCGAGGTCCGGCGGGCCGACCTGAAACGGGCCGGGCCGGGCCGAGCCGGGCCAATACTCATGATGCCTAGCTCATACTGTCATACCATGGTCCCAGTGCCATTATGCCATCCCTCTTCTACGGTGTTCTGGATTTTGATGAGGTTTTTTTGTTTTGTACTCACAATGCTTGGCATAAAATCACAGTGCACGCTGTGGTCCAGCTTCACGTTCCCAGCTCTCTGCTTCCCCTCTTATTCATGTTCACAACTAGCAAGAATAAGCGGTCCAGTGATTTGAAACAGTTTGCTTGTCTCTAAATTGCTAAGGAAGAGTCATGTGTGCTCAAGTTTGGCTGTATGGTTTTTGGTTGACTCCTTTTCCATCCACCATCAGTCTCGGCTGATGCAGGAGCACACCCTTCCCAACAAATCCGTTGTACTGGGTTCAACCGGGGAAGGGCAACAATGTGGAGTGGAAGTCCACCAAGCCCACAGAATGCGAAGGAATTGGTGTTCGTGTGCCACTCACCATATTTTAATGTCCAGTGTTCTTGGCATATGTGCATGACCTCCATTCTGTAACCAGACAACTATCCCAAAACAACTTGATCGGCACGATTCCTGATGCCATCGGCAAGCTAAGCAACATTGTTACCTTGTAAGTGCTATGATCCTTGCTTTTTAAGAAATATATGTTGGAAAGATGCAAACCCAGGATGCTTATTCCAGAAACCGATGGTCTGTATCTCAGGTGGAAAAATGCGTACCATATTCTATGCAAGTAGTTCTAGCCCGGCCAACATTGGTCCGAGGATCGAGGACGATGATACTACGATGAGATGATGCTACGAATACGTGGACGACGGTGGACGTAAGATTCATACTCCCACCCACCCCCTTGAATCTCACCTTTCGTACAATGAAATTATGTATGGGCTCCTAAGTTTCCACCAGTAGTATACTGTATTAGTGAAAGTGCAGTTTTAAGAAAAATCCTGCTTAGCATGTGGTTTCCTTTCCATCTAACACGGTCCAGATTCAATATGGAACATTGTATGCACTTACATACATACGCATGCGCTCCATATTCTCTCATCAGGAAACTTGACATCAACCAGTTATGGAGCACAATCCCTGACCTTTTTGGCAAGCTGACGAATCTTCGTGTCTTGTAAGTGGAATAAGTCATTCTACTCAGTCTGTCAAGTCTCGTCCGTTTGAACGGGGAGTAGCAGAGAGGTCATGGATTCCGGAAGGAAAGGACTGGGGAAATCTGGGGGCAGGGGAAGGAAGCCGGGGGGAAGGGGGGGAAGCAGCAATTGAGTGCGCATGGGGTCACTTCGAGCAATCAGTGTTACAATTTGGGTTGCATTTTCTGGTCATAGTGATTTACTCCCCATGTTATAGTAAAGTTCAGGCATATGCAGTAGGATACGCGGACTGGTAGGGGCAGCTCACTTCTCTCCCGGTGCCGCAGGAATTCCTTAACGAATTGTGCCTGACAAAATGCTTTCCACAGCTGTTGCAATACATGCAATTAATCGTGCTTATATGGAGGGTATGGTCGCTGCGGCCGAGGCTGCTCTGGGCCTGGTGACGTGGCGCCCACCAGGTGAGCGAGGGGCAGGTTAGGATGTACTGGGACCCATAAAAAAGGCCTTCTTTAATCCGCTTGCAAGGGGACTCACGGTTTCTTGTCCAGATCCGTGCTTGCATCGGAGGTAAATGTCTAGAGGTACGTGCAAGGCATCGATGAGTCGCCATCCTGTCGAGTCGAGCCGTTCCGGCTCTGGACAAACCGAGCCGAGCAACTGTCCGGCTTGTGGCTCGTGTAAGTTGTATGAGCCGAGGGTGGTTCGCGACGAGCCGAACCGGCTCGGAAGCCGCCCTTGGCTCACCCGCCTGGCACTCGGAAACCGACACAAGTTTGCAGCGTGGTCTTGAAATTTCAACACGACCTGCATTTTGCCTGCCAGATCCTCGCGTCGTCTACGAGCCGCGAGCGGCTCGTGGCTCGCCGAGCTGGCTCGGCTCGGCTCTCTCGCTTCAGCTCGGCTCGTTTCGGGGCAGCCGAGTCCCTGAACTCGGCTGAGCCGAGCCGCTGGCTGGGCCATCTACTGAACTGAACTATTTTTGAAGGTGGCATTGGCACTTCGGCTTGTCTTGTGTACGTAGGGTTGAGCATACTACCCGCCCGGGTCGGGTACCCGGTACCCGGATCCGCTTTTAGGGCGGGTCGGGTATCGGAAATCCTGAATATTACCCGGCGGGTCGGGTCCGGGTTACCCGGGCGGGTATTCAATACCCGGTACCCGAAATGCTACCCGACGTGTCGGGTAGCGGGTACCCGACCCGAAATCGGGTAGCGGTCTACCCGACGGAACCAGCGAGGCTTAGTCGCGCTGGTAGAGAAATTTCATCAAGTTTCTAGGTTACGTGAGTTGCTAGGTCACTTAGAGCATTGTAGATTGGCAAGGGTTGGGTTTCGTAGATACAGATGCATTCAGAGTGGTAATACCGGGTCGGGTATACCTAGGCTTGAGCAAAACCGGGTAATTACCCGACCCGACCCGGTTTTGCAATACCCGACCTCGGGTCGGGTAATTTCGGGTCGGGTAATTTCGGGTCCGGGTCGGGTAATATGCCCAGGACCCTTACCCGGACCCGGTTTTTTTAGGCGGGTATTTTAATACCCGCCTGGCGGGTCCGGGTATACCCGACCCGGACCCCCTGAAAAGCGGGTAATACTACCCGCCACCTACTAGTGGACATCCTAGAGTTGGGCTAGGCTAGGTAGGGCTAGGCTAGGTAGGGCTCCACTCGTCCCCCCTCACATCCAAAACTGTTTTGCCGCAAAACCTAAAACACAGCGTGACTTACGCCCATGTCTAGGTGGAATACCCGACCTCGGGTAATTTTTTACCCGACCGGGTCGGGTACCCGTTACCCGACACGTCGGGTAGCATTTCGGGTAGCGGGTATTGATACCCGGCCCGGGTAACCCGGACCCGACCCGGCGGGTAATTTTCAGGATTTCCGATACCCGACCCGCCCTAAAAGCGGGTCCGGGTACCGGGTACCCGACCCGGGCGGGTAGTTTGCTCAACCCTAGGTATACCCGGACCCGCCAGGCGGGTATTAAATTACCCGCCCCCAAATCCCGGGTCCGGGTATTGGTCCTGGGCATGTTACCCGACCCGTACCCGACCCGTACCCGACCCAAAAATACCCGACCCGAAGTCGGGTATAGCAAAACCGGGTCGGGTCGGGTAAATACCCGGTTTTGCTCATGCCTATGTGTACGGTTGGAGTATGTTTAGACTGCAAAATCCATATCTGTCTATCCTTCAGTATGTTCGTCAGGAAGCATTTGGTACCTATCGTTACGGTCCTTAGTCTTGAAATTTGATGGCTTGCAGATACCTAGGGACAAACGTGCTGAGTGGCTCGATACCAGCAACAATGTGCGACCTTCCTTTCTTGACTGACTTGTGAGCCTTTTGACAAGATGGAATTGACGCAGTCACCTCATCTCTTAGGCGATTCTATTCCCTGCTTCCATTAGATCTCATCTGTTGACATCACACAGCAATATCTTCCGTGACAGTCACCTGCCAATGCACATTGTGTAGCCGAGTGTGGGGTTACTCGATTTCTATTCGTATTCGTGGCGCAAAGCAAATGTGTAGTGGCTCAAACTATTCTCCTTGGTAGTAGTGGCGAATATCGGGGTGCTCAGCAGGTTGTAACCACGTGTAGCTAGCTGGCGGGCGGGTGGAGAAAGGGGGGGGGGTTGTGGGGCTGAGGGAGGGGGTTGGCAATGAAGAGGAAGCTGGTACGAGGGAAGTTGGGGCTGGTGACCGGAAAGCAAAAGCAGATCACAAAGGGGATGCATTGTGTTAAAGGGGCTGGACTTGGTATTTGAAGCGGTATTTGAAGTTCTTGAGTCTGTACAGTCAAGGGGGTCTTCAACTCGGCTTAGTCGGCTGGTATTTGTTGCCAAATATCTTTGTCTACAACTTGATCCGTACTCGTCGTAGCCATCCTCCTACTTTAATTCCCTGCTGTCGTTCCTTGCTGCCATTTGCCAGATGTTGATATACCCCCCGGCATCGTTCTTGCCAGACGGATGCCAGGGATTAACACCCAGCTTTAAGTGCTCACATCCCATCAGGGATCTAACCCTTATTGGCTTGGGGGAATCCATTCCATCCACGATTGGACGCTTGCGCAGCCTGACGAACTTGTGAGTATTGTGGCGTTGCGTTTTCTTATCGATTCCACCCTTATACCGTTATACGCCTGATCACTATTTTTTTTCCTTTCACATGCAAACAAGCTTAGCTTGATATTGCAGCTCAAAATGTCTCTGACGGACTGGGCTCACAACATTCCGCAATGCACGCAAACAATGTGGTTTTCATGGACTTACTAGTAAGGGTGCTAGAAGCTTTCGAAATTACTTGAAATATCTCCCTCTATGATGTAACAAACTCAATCATAAAGTGTGCATTGATCCCGATGATTCGACGGCTGCACTTTGTCCACTATAAAGTATTCTCGTCGTTGTTGATCTCCACACTGTGTACATACATTAATGTGTCACATATTTTCCTTATTGAGACGTAACTAGACATGAGCACGAGTCGAGTCGAGTCGAGTCAAGTCGAGTCGGCCTCGAGTTGGAAATCCCGGCTGGCCGACTTGTGACTCCACTCACGAGTCAGGGCCGACTCGTCAGCTAGCAGGGGGTTTTGAGAGCGGGGAGACAAAAACAGATTGAGGATGGGGGCCACTCCAACCCTCCTCCCTCTCCTTCCTCACCACTCTCCTCACCTCCTCTCTCCCTCGGGCCGCCCCTCCCAGAAACCCTCCCCTGGCCCGCCAACTGGGCGGTCTCCCTCCTCTCAAAAACCGCGGTGGTATGGTAAACCACCGGCGTTTCCCCCTTGTGGCTGCGTCAGCACCTGCTGAACCTTGTGATTGGCCGGGAGAGCGCTGACGTGGCTTGTCCGTGCTTTTGTGAGGGGCGAAATGGTTGTCCGCGCACATCTGGTGAAACGAAACGCTTGTCCGCGCAATTCTGACCGGTGAAATGTGTGACTGCACATTTCTGCTGGACTCAATTCTTGTCCGCGAAATTTTGACGGGCGAAATGCTTGTCCGCACACATTTAATGGGCTCGCCTACCGTCAGGTGCCAGCTCATTATTTTTGAAGGAGCCGAGCTGGGGTTTTTATCACCTTGGCTTGTCTCCGGCTCGTTCTGACTCAGCTCGGCTCGTCCTGACTCGGCTCGGCTCGTCAGCAGGCCGGCTTGTCCCAGCTCGGCTCGTCCCATGCCCATGTCTACCTAAATTTCTCTCGCCACGTGTGTACCCTCCGTTTTTCTCCCATAAGACAACTTAGCCACAACAACTTGCAGGGCACAATTCCAGACTCCATTACCGTTCTCACAAATCTTCATGTCTTGTGAGTGTTTTTTCCTTTGGAAGACATGTGCGTCATAACCAAACACAACTCGTTCACTCTCGATCCGTATTAACTCTATTTACAATTGGAAGTATGCATGCTTTAGCGATGCAAGTCTTGCCACGAGCTATGTTAGACATGAGGAAGGGGCGTTTCCTCGTGTCCGCCATGGAAGGCAAGTCGGGCTCTCAGGCCCGACTTGTCCCGCCCCACCCTCCCAGGCCCAGTTGGCCTGTCTTCCCCCCCCCCCCCTGGTAGACATGAGCAAAACCGGGTAATTACCCGACCCGACCCGGTTTTGCCCTACCCGCAATCGGGTCCGGGTTGGGTCGGGTCGGGTAATTTTCGGGTAATGTTTGGAGGTCTGTTACCCGACCCGACATTTTAATACTGGGTAATTGGGTACCCGTCTGTCGGGTCGGGTATACCCGACCCGCATTTAATTGAAGTCGGGTAATATTACCCGGGTACCCCTAGGTGGCTGTAAAATTCAGCAAACCCAGAGTAACAAACAGTGTTGGAAAAAACGCAGATTAGGTTTTGCGTTTTGCGTTTATACGCGAGTAAAATTCGTACGGTGCGTTTTGGGTGGAGATTCGCCGAAAAACGCACGGGCTGACCGCGGAAAAAAAGTTTTCCCGCGACAGGTCGCGACTAGGCGAAAAAAACAGGGGTTTCGCGCATCACCAATTCAACTGCGCAGAATTGGGGGCTGACGACAAAAGCGGCACATCGCAAACTCGAATTGAGTTTGTGGCTTGAACTCCCAACCCCAAAAGGCTTCCCCACCGCATTCAATCTCTCCATACGTTTCCAACCCAACCAATTGTGGTTTGAACTCCAACCCCAAAAAGCTTCCCCACCACATTCAATCTCACATCACCTCCCTTTCCCAGCCTTTCTGCTTTATGACAATTGACGACTCACCAGAGTCCTGACGCAGAGGAGCAGCACCTAACCTAATTCCGCGTCGTAACTCTCTAGCAAAGCTCCCTCCCTTAGTTCTCGCGCCGTTGTTCGTAGCTCCCCAGGAGAAATGTTGACCCGTTCCTACCACCCCTCCTAGCGCGACAAATTTTCCTGCCCACAATATTTTTTCCCCTGCCCGAACCTCCGTATTTCGTGCGTACTGCATTCCCCCTTTCCAAGCGTATTGCGTATAAACGCTTACGTATATACCCTGGCGTACAAAACGCACTACGAGTATTTTCCAACATAGGTAACAAACCCAAAGTCGGGTCGGGTACCCGCGACCCGACGGGTAATAAATTACCCGACATTTCGGGTTATTCTCGGGTAACGGGTATGCATTACCCGGCCCGAGTACCCGACCCGACCCGGCCGGGTAATTCGTCAAAATCCTATTACCCGACCCGGCCAAAATGTCGGGTCGGGTCGAGTACCCGCGACCCGACCGGGTAAAATGCTCAAGTCTACCCCCCGGCATGTCCCAAATGTCGGGCCACTGGCTGGCTGGGTGTTTTGGCTAGACCGGTTCGTCCCGGCACTACTTTCTTTCTGCGTGTGGGTCGCCCAGCCCGTGCACTTGCTCTTGTCCAGTTGTATGTTGACATAAGTCGTTTTGCATTCTACCCGTAGTGGCCGCAAAAAATGAAGTCATAGGCCCAACAAAAGTAATAACAATGAAAGCATTAGGTGCATATTCATTATTCATATAAAGGTGAACACCTTGCTATCATAAAAACGCCAGCTGTTACCATAGTAGCTACGTGAATTAAAGTTGAAACCGGTGTAGGCCCCTCCATTGCGCAAGGCAACCAAGTATGCAAGCCGATCTGCGCAGATTTACCTACTGCCCCTATAAACAATAAAATACAAAAAAAAGCTGTAAGTGCATGAACCTTAGTAAAGCAAAATAAGAAAATGTTGGATGGATCTGCGTGAGCACTAGCACATACAAAAAGAACTTCAAAGTCCACAGTTTGAAAAATAGAAATCACCATACATCCTGCAACGTCATGGCAATTATCGAATCGAAAGCATATAGATATGCATCTCTAAATAGAGCTTCCTCTATTGACAAAATCACCATACATCGTGAATCGTCATGGCGATTACCGAACCGGAAGCATATAGATACGCATCTTCTAAATAGAGATTCCTCCAAGGAAAAAAAAAGAGAATCTGCTTTGTCTGCAGCAAATTGGTGGTGCTAGGTTGTTTTATGCGGGAGTTCCCAGTGTGCCCAGTCTGTGGACCAACTTGTTCGCTCACGCTCATTAGCACTAATGCTGGAGGAGCCCATCTTAGATGAGCTTTTGGAGTTTTGATTGTTGTCACTTTCCTTTAACACGACTGACACTGCTGCTAATGCCCAAACACACGTTTAATGTTCTTCTGGGATTTGGTTGGTGCATTTGACTTGGCAGTCCGCTTCTTGCTCGTCACTGTGGAAAAAAATGAACTGAAGTTTCACTTTGAGGCTCACAAACAAACCCATAAGTTTCAGTTAGCTCACCCCTTAAGACACTACTATATTACATGAATGCAGGAATTTCCAGGGCAACAAGCTGGTTGGCTCAATTCCAAGGACAATAGGCAACCTTCAGTTATTGACCATACTGTGAGCCTCTTGTTTAGTTGGGTGAGATGACTCTTGCATCATTTGCTAAGGCTTACATTGTCCTCTTATCATTCTTTTGAACATCAACATACTTTACTGCTCTTCCCTGTACATACAAAGACTTGAATGTCGCCCACAATACTCGTCAATGTATTCTAGGGTTGAGAAAAACTGGGCATTTACCCGACCCGACCCGCTTTTGCAATACCCGACTTCGGGTCGGGTATTTTCGGGTCGGGTACGGGTCGGGTAATAAGCCCAGGACCATTACCCTAGGCTTGAGCAAAATACCCGCGCGAGCCGGGTACCCAGAACCGGATCCTTTTTTTGGGCGGGGCGGGTATCCGGATTCCGGAATATTACCTGGCGGGCCGGGTCCGGGTTTCCCGGGCGGGTATTCGATACCCGTAACCCGAAATGTTACCCGACAGGGCGGGTAGCGAGTACCCGTCCGTCGGGTCGGGGAATTAATACCCGAGGTGGGGTATCCACCTAGACATGGGTGTAAGTCGCGCTGTGTTTTAGGTTTTGCGGCAAAACGGTTTGGGAGGTGAGGGGGGACGAGTGGAGCATTGGGAGGAGAAGTTGGAGTTTGTAGATGGGGAGGAGTTAAGTGCGGTGAAAGGGAGGGAGTTGGGTGAGAGGTGGAGACTAGGTTGGAGTTTGTAGATGGGAAGGAGTTGAGTGCGGTGAAAGAGAGGGAGCTGATTTTGAGTTGGAGAAAATGTTGGAGTTTGTAGATGGGGAGGAGTTGAGTGCATTGAAAGGGAGGGAGTTGGTTGGAACTAGGAGAAGGGTTGCAATTGCTAGATGGGGAGGATTTTAGTGCGGTGAAAGGGAGGGCGTCGGTTGGAACTTGGAAGGCCCCCAGAAAACGCGACTCTCATTTGAGAGTCGCGTTTCGAGAAACCCTAGCTAGCCTAGCCCGTTTTTAGTAGGCCCACTAGTAGGTGGTGGGTAGTAATACCCGTTTTTCAGGGTAACCGGGTCGGGTATACCCAGACCTGCTAGGCGGGTATTGTATTACCCCCCCCCCTAAGGCCGGGTCGGGGTAGGCTTGAGCATGAACCCGACCCGACCCGACCCGACCCGACTTTGCCCTACCCGATGTCGGGTTCGGGTCAGAGCTCAGGAAATGTCAACCCGACCCGGGTTTAATAGGTCGGGTACTACCTGACCCGATTTCGGGTCGGGTCGGGTCAGGTTGGCATAGGGGCAGGGACGGGTAATAAGCCGACCCGACGGGTCGGGTTTTGTCGGTCGGGTCGGGTCGGGTCGGGTAACCCAACCCGAACCCGACTTTCTGCAGGGTCGGGTTGACATTTGCGAAAAGCCCCGACCCTCAGGTACCTGACCCGACCTGACCCGACCCGACCCGACCTGACATAACGCGACCCCTCGGGTTGGCTTATCACCTTCCCCTGCCAGTATGCCGATCCGACCTGACCCGAACCGAAACCGGGTCCGGTAATACCCGATCTGTATTACCCGGGTCGGGTCACCCAAATGCAAAGGCTGACCCGACCTTGACCCGACCGGATCCGACCCGAACCCGACCTCGGTTTAGGCAAAGTCGGGCCGGATCGGGTCGGTTTGGGTAGATGCTCAAGCCTCTTCTCATGTAGTAGAGGACATAAGTGGGGGTAGGCTTGAGCAAAATACCCGCGCGGGTCGGGTACCCGGACCCGGATCCCCTTTTTGGGCGGGTCGGGTATCGGGATTCCCGATAATTACCCCCAGCTGGGTCGGGTCCGGGTAATCCGGCCGGGTAGTAGGTACCCGATACCCGAAATGTTACCCGACGACGCAGGTAACGGGTTTCCGTCGGGTCGGGTAATTAATGCCCGAGGTCGGGTATGGGGAGTCCCGAATTTGCCAAATCACAAAATTTGGGAGGAATCGCGTAATTTCCGGAAGAATAAGTTGACGAAAATTTCCGGAAAAAATGTTCGCAAACATTTTCTGGTCAGCCCGGAAACAAGTTTGCCTAATGTTTATCGTTTCCAGGCGTTTAGCGCATTGCGCATCTGCGCTATACTCTAGCTTGCCAGAGCATTTAATACGACTTAGGTTTGGAGCAGTTCGATAGTGGCAAATTCTGCCCAAGTTAATTAGCCAGACGCATGTGTCTCACACCAGCTCCTCATGAGCTCGCCATTAGCTTGCCACCAAAATATATATTAGGCACGCATAGGTGAAGAAAGAGAAGGTGAAGCTTCTTAACACACATCCCCTTTTAGTTGTCACAATAGATGTAGGATGGAGAAACGTTTTATGCGGTGTAGTTATATGAGCTAGTTGGGGATCTTCGGAGTCGACGCGAAGTTGACAGGCAGTACCCGAGGGGATTTCTGGAGGAAATTCCGCGAGCCAATGAGGCAGGAGGGCAGTCCCAGGCAAGGTGCAAAAATACGGCAACCGAAAAAAACGGGCGTTTCATACGGCCCGCTTTTTTCGGTGATTTGAGGAAAAATACGCCGAATTTTTAATAGACGAAAATGTGCAAAAAAAAAAAACCCTACTCTGACTGGTATACAGGTGGGGACAACTGCCATGGGCTTTCTAACGTCAAAACAACATCTAAATGCGGCTACAGATAGAAATGCCACTGCATTCGATAAGTCTACGTCCCCCTCCTCGAAGGCCCCCCCCTCCTCCTCCTCTTGCAGGTGTCTACCTCCCCATCCTCATCCTAAGCCTCCCCCTCCTCCACCTTAACCTCCCCCCTAATCCTCCTAGGCTTCCTCGTGAGACTCCCCCTCTTCCTCCTCCTCCTCCTCTTCCTCCTCAGCCTCCTCCTCCTCAGCCTCCTCCTCCTCAGTCTCAGCCTCCTCCTCCTCAGTCTCAGCCTCCTCCTCCTCCTCAGCCTCCTCCTCCTCCTCCTCCTCCTCCTCCTCCTCCTCCTCCTCCTCCTCCTCCTCCTCCTCCTCCTCCTCCTCCTCCTCCTCCTCCTCTCCCTCGCCCATGTCCCAAGTGCCGCGATCCTTGGTCCCCTTGGTTCGGCAGGTCACCTTCTCTGCCCCCCTCTTCCTTGTGGCACTGACCCTCCTCCTCTTCTTCCCCCCTATGTCCCCGAAGGTGTCCCAATCAATGGCACACTCGGCGGCCTCATCCTCACTCCCTTCGTCGTCCACCTCCTCCACAACCTCTTGAGGGAGAGGTGGAAACGGGTCACTGCTGTTTGCCGTGAACTTGCGTGCCTGAAGATCAGCAAACAGCAGAGCACGGGCCTCCACCCTCTTGTCAAAAGAGGCCCGAGCGCGGCGGCTGAACGCCACCCATGTGACATCGATCATGGTCTTGGCGTTCAGCTTGTTCCGATCGCGTCGCTGCACCCGCGCCATAGCCGACCAGCACCGCTCGACTTCCGAAGCGGTGATGGGTTGGGATAGGACCTTTACCGCCAACTCCTGCAAGGCGCGCACCTCCCCACCATAGATAAACCACCACTCTGCCTCCGAAAGCCTGCTGCTCTCTACAAGAGCTTGTGCAGCAAACCTTGCATCGCCGCTCCCCAAACGGCCTTCCCCTTTGTGGAAGCTGGCAATTTGGGTTTGAAGCAGGGTGCGGATCTGCACATCGTGCTCCTTTGCCTAGCACGGCTTGCACTCCATCCCTGATCTCCTGATCGGTCCGCACTTCCTCCGAGAATTGGTTCTTCGGGTTCAGCAGCCACCCCAAAGCATGCAGGGGGTTGTGCAGCTGCTTGTCCCACCGTCGGGCAATGATCTTTTGCACGGTCTTCAAGAAACCCGGCTTTTTCTTAGCAGCCAGCAGTTTTGTCTGTTTGACAAAAAACACAGCTGATATTTAGGGAAACGGGTGAGGGCAGAGTTGAAAAGGAGGAGGGGGAAGGGTGGATTCGTGAGGGGCAGCACATGCAGCCAAGTACCGAGGCAGGCGGGTGAGGGCAGAGTTGAAAAGGAGGAGCGGGAAGTGGCTTACCTGCAGCCGCCGCCGCTTTGGTAGTCTTGACCGTGGCGTCCAGCATTAGGCCGTAGATCCTCGCCATGAGGACGGATCTACGGTCGACTGCTCGTAGCACCTCGTACAGTGGGGTCATGAGCTGGACGACAACCCCCACTGCCTCCCAAAACTTGTCCTCCAAAAGGAGGTCTTTGAGCTTCCGCCCCTCCTCCTTCTTGGCCACTGCAATCCCCTTCCACTCCTCACTAATCACCATTCGCTGCAAGTCGCCTTGAAGATCAGCAAAGCGGGTGAGCATGATCACCTGCGTGCCAAAGCGCGTGACCCCGGGACGGACAAGCTCTAGCTTGCTGAAAACCTCCCGGAAGAGAATAACGGCGCTAGCGCTCTTTTTCACCATCATCACGACACGGTGGGCCTGTTTGAGTACTCGGTTGATGACACTAATCGACCCAAGGTCGTGTAGCATCAAGTCAAGGCAGTGGGCGGCACAATTTGTGAAAAAAATCCCCGGATACCCCTCCTTTAACTCCCCGGCCGCACTCTTGTTGTTGCTCGCGTTGTCCATATGACTTGGACAACGCGGGCATCTCCAACTGTGCATATCGCCTTTCGGATATGCTCCGCCAAGAACGACCCTGTCTTCTTGGCGGTCTTGGAGTCAATGACATCCACCATAACGGGTGCTGTGTCATTCTGGGCGACAATGCACACGAGCCCGCGACTCTTCAAACACGACCATCCGTCGATGGACAAGGAACACCCACTGGTGTTCCAAGTCTCCTTGAGAGGCCTCTCGAGCTCAACAGTGTCTGCCTTCAGCTTGACAAGCAGCGGCCCGCTGACTTTGTACGCAGACGGCATGGTGTACTTCTTTCCGAATTGGACAGCCGCATTAACGAACTCTTGGAGGGCCAGAGACCTGAGCAAAGCGGGAGGCAGATAGTTAGAGAGCTTGGCATGGTAGAGTTGAAGATCCGACCCCAGCATAACACGTTCCATGGCATCAAAGGCCAGGGTGTTGGGCGGCATGGGAGTACTTACTGCGAGGTGCGGAAAGCCCAATCGTTTTCCGCGACAGCCGTCGCCCACAAGTAGTCCATGTGCTCGCGGGCCGCCTTGTCCGTCATGGTGCGAATATCCATCTGGCCCCTTTTTCGAACTGCCTGCCCTTCGACCGTGGACGTGGAGCCATGGCTAAAGCCCGAGCAGGTGGAACTCCGCTCGGCCTCGCCCATTGAGCGAAGGTTCTTCGCAAAATCCGAGGTGCACTGAGCGACATTCCTGAACTTAGTGGTGGGAGTCCCGTACAGGTGCTCCGTAATCAGCGTTGCGTTGGCAGTGACGGGTTTGTGGCAGTGAATGCACTCAGCGCGGATTAGTTTCCCGTCATCACTAAAAATTTTCTGCACGTGTTCCCACATGCGCGACGGAGCTCGTGGCATGGTGGGATTACTAACCTAGTCGGTCGAAATTAGGACGCGATGCAGCGCGTATGAACGAACCGGGGGTAAATGTGCCTAGTTGGGGTTGAGAGCTGAATCTGAAGTGTGGATAGCTGAATTCGCGATTTCACCTTTATGCTTTTACCTTGCTTGGAGCTGCTCCACACTTGTTTCACACCAACTTGGCAAGGTGGGGGGGATTCGTTGTACAAACGGCATTGGGGAGACGCGAAATGGAAAGGCCAGGCTGGATTTTCGCGCATCGCGAAATGAGTCGCGCGTTGGGCGCGCTATGGGCCGCAAAATTCCAAACGGGTGTTGCCGAAAGTTCGCAACGGCAATGCGAAATGCACAAAATGTGCGGTTCGGGATGAGGTTGCATTCGCGCTTCGGGAAAATGTTGAGCGAACAATTTCCCAACAGGGCGAGCAAACCCAACCACATAACAAGACCTCGATTGGCAATTATAAACCTAGTACACCTCCCATTAAAAAAAACGACCGTATAATACGACCTTTTTTTTGCACACACATGAAAACGCACCCAAGACCGTTTTTTTCCGTATTAAACGGTCGTATATTTCGGTACAGTATGATACGGGCTAAAAAGGAAAAATACGCCGTTTTTTTGTACCTTGGTCCCAGGCCAGAGCGCACATTGAGGTATGAGTGGTTCAGCCAAAGGTCCCTCTTTAGGGAGCACAGCACACCAGGACAAGCAATTCAATAACTCGCTTGTTCTCTCATCCATAGTCAATTTGGGTTACCTGTGAGACTCCTGTTCGGTGACCTTCACTCACAGAGGCCAAGCCAAGCACGTGTAGGGAGCGTCTTGTAGTGGCTGGGAGAGACAAAGGGCAGAAAGAGGCGGACGCGGGGTGGGAAGAGCAGGCAAAAAGGGGGAGAGGTAAGACACATTAGGAGAAGCCAGCCAGGACAGGCAGGAAGAGTCCGACATCCTTTCAAGCATAGGCGGCAGGTTGACACCCAAAAGATATTCTGTACCCATCAATTTCTCCACTACTAATGCATGACTGATGCCCTTGTTCTTTGAATAGGGACTTGAGCCGTAATGGCTTTGTGGGCGCAATTCCAGCTTCCATTGACAAGCTCACAAATCTTCGTACATTGTGAGTGTCATTCTTTATGGTGTCATACCGACTGTGCGACCACTCTTATCCTTAGCACAGGCTTATCCCGTACCACACTTCACTTCCTTGATCCGCATGTGTGTGTTGTTGAGGCTTTGGATCTCTGTTTAGTTTTTCATTACTACTGCACCGTCACGTCCACTGTGGAGGGACGTCTCTTCTCCAACTGCCTCTGTAGTATGTAGGAGCAGATGGCTGGTGGCTAGGCTAGCCAGACCGGCTCGAGCCGGTCCGGAACTAGAAGTGAAACATGGAGATCTGGAGCTGGTAAGGAACAACTGGAACAGAGCTAGACACTTGTGCAATATTTGTGCAAACAAATGGTTTAAATTTTACCGCTGGATGCGCGAGGATGCAGAGGGCAGGTCGGCGTCGACGATGAACTCAACCGTCAGCTTTCTGACGACCAACAGCTTCCGCATGGGCCACATGGGCCACATGGGCCACATGGGCCACACTGGCCACATGGGCTGCCGACCAGAGGCCGTCCATCTAGCCCCTCCCGGAGGCTAGCTAGGCCAGTTGTTCCAAGAGTGTGACTTGAGAGTTGCATGTAGGCATGAGCAAAGGACCGGCCCGGCCCGGCCCGGCCCGGTTTTGGGTCGGCTCGGGTAGAAACCGAGCCGGGCCGGCCCGGCCCGTCCCGGGCCGGAGTTCCGGATTTGCTGGCCCGGACCGGGCCTCTAGACCCAGGCCGACCTTGGCCCGGTGGACGGACCGGTCCGGCCCGGCATAAAAACGGGCCTAAACCGGGCCAGCAAATCCGGGACCCCTTTTTGACTGTTTCGGGTGGGGTTTTGATGGGGGGATGTCGTGCATTGCTCCGGCAGATTTCCTAGCTGGTTGTGGCCCCTTGTAACGTGTCTCATGGTCCCCTAAATGCGCGTTATCAAACCTAATAAATATAGTATGCATGAGGGCCCATTGGATCATTGGCGGGTCCTTGGAGAGACGTGATAATGTCTAATCCAATCCCAACCTGCAGCGCCACCCTCAATCCCACTCAAAGCCCTTCATCATCCCCCTCAAGGCACACTCCTCCAGTTGCCTTCAAAGTCTTGGCATCCAAGGGCGGCACCCCCGTGTTCTGCGAAAGCCATGACTTGATAGTCATGGTCGCACGCACGTGAGGGCCTGTCAGTCGATGCCTCTGCCAAGTAATGATATTCCGACTCTGGCTGAAAGCTCGCTCACTTGCTGCGGACGAGGCTGGGATAGCTAGGTAGTCCCGAGCCATCGCCCTCAACCCGGGGAGGTAGTGCCTGTCACGCCAATAGGCTAGCGGGCAGGAGTCCCGCGGCTCCTTCGCCTCCCTAATGTATGTGTCCACCTCGTCCAGCTGCTGCGACCCCGCCTCCGCCTCCAGCTCATCCAGTGTACTGAACAGTCCATCATCAAGGCCGTCATCCCCCCCCGCAGCTGGTCCAGTCCCCCCCTCCACCTCTACCCCCGCACCAACTGGTGCGTGTCGGCTCGTCCCCGTGTTGGTATCGCGGGACCTCAACTCCTGGTGGTACCCGCTAAGCCTGTCGCGCACCAGCTTCAAGACCGCTGCCTCGTCGATGTCTGGGACCGCCCTCGCCTTCCCCCCCACCTCCATGGCCAGATGTGGGTTCTTCGCCTCCCACCTCTTGATCCTGAAATAGAGATGCTTAAAGCGGGGATCCAGGAAGGTGGCAATGAACAGCTCCTTGCTCGTGGTGTAGCGGTATTTCTTCAAAACTGGCAAGGCTCGATCTGTAAGCGCCCGGCGCACGGCGGAGAGGTCTGCCTTGCAGCTGCTGGCCTCCAGCTCATCCATCAGCAGGCTATACTGGGGCAACACTGCTGCAGCCGTCGGGTACAGGGACCCTTCAGCCGCGGTGGTGACGCGGGCGAATGGGCGGAGGAAATCACGTAACTCTGTCAGGATCTCCCAATCAGCATCGGTGGGCTTAAGGCTCTGGACCTTCTCGCGCACGCTAGCCCTGGCACCGGGCTGGGGCGGGAAGAGCGGAAATGTGTTGGAAAAGCGTGGTTGGTTATGTATAAAACGGGCATTGGAGTAGGCCAATAGTGGAAGGGTCATTCCATGCACACTGTGGAGAGACTGATAGCACACAATACGAGCACTGTCATGCTAAGTGCGGCATGCGTACCTCGGCGCGCGCGAAATGGAGAGCAAGCGCCGGCTCCAACTTGATGGCGCGCACCACCATCTCGTAAGTCGAGCTCCACCTTGTTGGCGTGTCCGACACAAGACAGAGTACCCCATCACCACCCGCCCGCCGCTGCTCATCCTCGAACCTCTCGGTGCGCTGGGTGGACATGCCGATGAAGCTAGCAATGTCCCGCATCTTGCGCAGGGGCTCGGCGACCTCGGGGATGCCAATGGCCGCGTGAACCGAGATGTTCACGACGTGGCCAAGGCACCTATGTGGGGGGGACTCGGTAAAGACATGAGCACTGTTACCACCGGATACGAAATTGCAAGGTGTACATCTGACAAGAAAGACGCATGTGTGCAACCACTCACCGGAAGTGCCGATCCTCCTTGAGGATGGGGTCGCGACCAAGGCCAGGGTCCTCGCCCGTGAGGAGCCGCATGGCCTTGGCATTATTCTCAGCATTGTCGGTGGTGACGCCGAACAGGTGGGGTACGAGGCCCCACTCGGTCAAGACCCGCTCAAATGTCTCCGCTATCAGGACCCCAGTGTGCGAGCCGTGCAGCTGCTCGAACTCCATCACCACCTGCCGCAGTTGGAAGTCACTGGTGATCCAGTGGCCAGTCAGCACCATGAACGCCTGGCTGGCCACGCTCGTCGAGATGTCAGTGGTGAACGACATCTTCCCCGCCAGCCCATCCCCCAACACATCCTGCCTCTGCAGCTCACGGACAGCATCACCCGTCGCACCCATGTCACGCGCCAGCGTCCACCGCGAGGGGAGCATGGCCTCCGCCTGGGCATTCAGCAGCGCCGTGTAACGATGGAACTGCAGTCGGGATGTGTGCAGGGTTTAATACATGTCCGACACACGTAAGCGGGCGTTGATTTGTAAGCTGTCGCTTAGAGAGGCCGAGCACACGGATTATGCAAGGCCACCAACAGCGTGCACATCAAATGGAACTCCAAGCGAGGATAACGGCTTATCAGCGGTACCGCACGCAGCGCATCTGAAGCACTCACCGCTGGCCGATCGACTAGGCGGTACGCCAAGTCAGCGTCGGCAAAAAGCTCAACAAGGGCTGCACGCAGACGGGCGGGAGAGACTCGGGCTGTGTAGAACTGGCGCATGTCCTGCTGCCCCCCCTCCACCATCTCCCCCTGTGGCGCCTCCTCTCCAGGTGGGTACCCCGGCCAGTATGTGGCCCGCGGCCACTCCTCCCCACTATGAGGCACACCCGGATAACCATCCCATGGAAACTCGAGATCAGGCGCCCTGTTCTCCACCCTGTACAGCCGCTTCCAAATCTGATAATGCGGCATGTGCCAGCGCTCCATGTGCCGCTTCCCGGCATTCGTGCTGCCGTCAGCCCACCCTATGAACTTGCGGCATGCTCGACACTCGCGCTGTTCGTTGACCTTGTCCAAAGCCCCAAACATACCCCTCACTTCGCCGGGCCAGGACTTGTCGTCCGCCGAACGTGTGGTGCGTGCCTTTGCCGCCTTTGCCGCCTTTCTCGCGCGTTTCTTTCGCCCCTGCTCAGCTCCCGCTTTGCCCCCTCCCTTTCCTGCAGCAGCGGCCGCGGGCGTGCCTACACCGCCCTCCATGGCTTCGTCGAGAGGGGTGCCCCCTCGCTGCCCACCACGCGGCGATCCTCCCCCCCCCGCACGACCTTCTCCGTGCCTCGCCCCCCCCCTCTGCGACGCCCTCCCTGCCCTAGCGGTTTTGCCCTGCCCACCACCTCCGGGCCTCCTCGCATTCCCTTCTCCCCGCCTACGCTGTTTTGGCCGGCCGTCGCCGGACTCCTCGGACTCGGACAACTCCTCCCCACTGATGTGGTACTCTTCGTCATCATCCCCCGCCTGCCTTGAAACCCCGCGCTCTCCCATCGCCTCCTCCCCCACTCCCTCCTCAGCCGCTCCTCGGTGGATGTGTGAGCCCAACGCAAAGCTCTGCTGCCCATCGGGCAGCGTCACCTGCTGGAGGGCCCCTCGAAACCCATAACTACTACCCCCTCCAGTGCTCGCCCCTGCGATCTTGATCTGACGCGGCGTGCCACCAAAATCGCCCATTGCCTCGATCCAAACCTGTCACCAACTTCGCCTAGCGCCTAGTGACGCACGGAATCTTCAGCTATGCAGACTGTAATACTAACATAAAAAATTCTCACGTAACTCGACACTGTACATGAGGTTCACCGTGGAGTAACGAGATTCGTAACCTGAGTAACGCGCCAAAGACGAATCACAAAAACGGATCTGAGGTGCTCGGCGTTTTCAGAGGGGGTACGTTTTCTAGGTTAGAGAAACAGCGCGCTACTTTTCCTAGCCTGTAATCGTCGCGATAGAAAAATACGTCCGTACATCTACCCTGAATTACGAGTAGCAGTTGTCTCTCAACTAAAACAACAGTGGCTGCCACGGATTGTAGGGTTAGGAGCCTATGGACGCCTACATAAGTCGAGACTCGTTCTCTGCTGTATGAATGACTCGCAATGGTCAAAATTTCGACTTCATTGTCGAAATTTAGACTCCCCGTCGACCGAGCTGCGCGGCCCATGATACGGCCCGCACGCCGGACCGGGCCGGCCCGGCCTGACTTTGCGAACGCGGCCCGACGACGGGCCGGTCCGAACCGGTCCAGCAGCGTCAGCTCGTCAGGCCGGTTCGGACCGGCCCGACATGCACAGCCAAGCCGGGCCGGCGGGCCGGCCCGGCCCGGCGGGCCAAACCCGGACCGGCCCGACCGGGCTGGTACACTGCGAAGTATTGGCCCGGTCCGCGAAATTTCCGGACCGGTCCGGGCCGGCCCGGCCCGTCCGGGCCTTTTGCTCAACCCTAGTTGCATGAGGCTTGAATATGCCTCTCATGAGTTCCTTGCAAGATCCTCATAAGCACACTACCAGATAATACCCGCGACATCTTTTCATCATAGGGGCGGCTTCATTCTTTTCCTCCCCGTGCCCGTTATTGTTATGTCATCAGGAACCTTGGTGACAATAGCTTGATGGGCACAATTCTTGCTTCTATTGGCAACCTCACAAAACTGCGTACCTTGTGAGCCATCACAACCATTGTTCGTTGTGTTGACATGTGAGCCACAGCCAACCCCGCATGCACATTCTTGGCATGGATGGAGGCATTTGGTTTGGTCTGTAACTGTTGCCATTACCGGCTGTGCATATCCGTGAAGCTAGATTAAGGAACATACAAGGAAAACATAGGTGTTCGAAAAGTAAACACATTCCAAACTAGATCTTTGTAAGCACAAAGCTTTGAAGTCTAACATTCTGAGAAAAGGCATCTACAGTTTTTAGTATAATGCAGATGATATTTTCACAAATCATTCTTACTTCGATGTTTTATGTTTTATGATGTTCCATGAATTCGGTACACCAGCCTCATCAACCAGTCCCTCCAAGGCTTGAGACTCGTTTGGTGCTATCTTACGTCACATTGCATTAACATTCTCTTCTATAGGACCACATTAACTCCCTTCTGCCGTTGATCTTATGTCTTGTTGCAGGAATCTGAATGGAACCAAAGTTTCATGCCCTCCTGACTTCACCGAATGTGTGGCAAAGCAAACACTTCAAAGCACCTTTTGCCGCCAGTGCCTCTCTTTCTGCACCACTTGTGTCACGCCAGCACCACGTGAGCCAACCTGCTTCTCAGCTATCCTCCCCCCATGTTTTGTCTCCCCATCCCATCGTGTGTTTCTGTGTATTGGCTTTCACCATACAGTGAGGGCCAATGTGTGATTGGAAAGCATCAGCAATGCTACGCTAGCCTGGTAGCTTTTTGTTCATCTCTGTGCACCGCTTTTTGGGCTTCCTACCCGATGGAACCAATATTGCCTCCATCCCTTCCCTTCTCATGTCCATCCCTTCCCTTCTCATGTCCATCCCGCCCCTTGCCTCCTCCATCGCCTTATCGCCAGTGCGCACCACAACACCCACTGAGTCCCCTTCACCTTCCTCCTCCTCTCCAGCATCCCCCCTTTCACTTGAAACATCCACCTCCCAGTCTGGAGGCAGTATGTCAACAGCAGCCATTGCTGGCGTTGTTGTAGCTGTTGTAGCTGCCCTGCTGGTGCTGTTGATTGGCGTGCTGCTATGGTGGAGGGGCTACAGGAAAGAAGCAGCACAAGGAGCAGCTGCAACAGTCAGTGAGAGCAAGGATGTACTACTACAGAGTTCTCAAGGTACAACGGATTTCTTCCCCTCTCTCCTCCCACTTTTCACCCTCTCTCTCTAACCGTTGTATCAGAGTAATTTGGGCTCGGTGCACTAGGTACCAAACAGAGGGTGTGGAGGGAAATTGTGCGGGAAGGAGTGGACGTGAATATCCCTCTCATTGACAGTTGTTAAGATAATCTACTATTGGGGTACAGCAAAATAAGTATCTACTTTTTGGAACATGGGGAGGAGGGGGGTGGAGATTAGACGGGGACCGTCAGGCAAGTACGGCATGGGGGGGTTGCGTGGATAGTGTTGTGAGAAGAGCTCTAGCTAAACACCAGACACACTTAACTAGTCAGAGGTTTCAAGCAACCGCGCAAACGCCACGGCTGGCACATAAATTTAGTGATCTGCATTCCCTTGGCTATACCTGAATTCTAATTGTCTTCCTAGTCAGCAATGGCGGTTGTTTCACCAATCCAAGCCATGTGTGGCATGCGACGTGGTCGTGGACGAGCAGGGCAGGTGCGGGGGTTCCGCGACTGCGAAGGACGAGGAGAAGAGGGCGGCGATGAGGGAACGGAGGAAGGGGCGTGAGTGGCGATGAGGGAACAGAGGAAAGGGCGTGAGCGGCGATGAGGGAACGGAGGAAAGGGCGTGAGCAGCGATGAGGGAACGGAGGAAAGGGCGCGAGCGGTGATGAGGGAACGAAGGAAAGGGCGTGAGCGGCGATGAGGGTGAAAGAATTCAAGAAGTTATTTCAGTAATGGAATCAGGAGCATACATAGGAAAGTTGAGAAAGAAGGGAAGCTAGCAAGAGAAGGATTAATAGTGCCACATGCAGTTGGGTAGGAAGAGTACCCAACCACCATGGGAGCCACTTGTGTGGTCCCAATATTGTGGTCTTGGTGCTCGGGGGCTCCAACCACTCCAAGGTTGGATTAACACCCCTTGCACTTTGATGTGTACTGTACACCACAGGTTGGTGTACACCTAGCTAATATACTGGTTGAGCATGTTACAATAGATATATATAATCTAACACAACCCCTTAACATGCAGAGGACAAGGATGGAGAAGGCGAACAGCCCCTGAATCATGGAGCACTGGAGGTGACATGGGCAGCATGCCGAGTCAGGCTCGGCTCGACCCTGCTCGACTCGTCTTTTTGGCGAGTCGAGCCGGGTTTTTTTTTTGGCCGGCTCGCCCCGAGTCGAGCCGAGTCGAGCTGGTCGAGCTGCGCGGCTCGGCTGAGCTCGTCGCAAATTTCTGGTCGAGTCGAATTCGAGCCGGCTCGTTTTCGGCTCGACCATCGAGTTGCGCGGCTCGCCCGCAGGTAGGCTTGAGCAACGGGTCGGGTCGACATTTGAGGAGGGTCGACCCGACCATCGGGTACCCGACCCGACCCGACCTACAAAACCCGACCCGTCGGGTCGGCTTATAACCCGTCCCTCCCTGCCCCTATGCCAACCCGACCCGACCCGACCCGAAATCAGGTCAAGTAGTACCCGACCTATTAAACCCGGGTAGGGTTGAGCAAACTACCCGCCCGGGTCGGGTACCCGGTACCCGGACCCGCTTTTAGGGCGGGTCGGGTATCGGAAATCCTGAAAATTACCCGGCGGGTCGGGTCCGGGTTACCCGGGGCGGGTATCAATACCCACTACCCGAAATGCTACCCGACGCGTCGGGTAGCGGGTACCCGACCCGAAATCGGGTAGCGGTCTACCCGACGGAACCAGCGAGACATTAGTCGCGCTGGTAGAGAAAATTCATCAAATTTCTAGGTTACGTGAGCTGCTAGGTCACTTAGAGCATTGTAGATTGGCAGGGGTTGGGTTTCGTAGATACAGATGCATTCAAAGTGGTTGAATTGGGGGGAATTGGTTGGAAGTCAAACCAATCGAATTTCTTCAATCGAATTTGCAACCCAACCTGAATCCAGCCAACCGCACAGCACCACATTGGTTGGAGTTCCAACCAATTGACTCTGGGGGTCAAAGAATCAAACCCCCAGAAACCGCACACAACCCCATTCCAACTAGAAAACCCAACCAACTCCTCACTCAGGCCCCACTCACGACCCACTCACCACACCAGAACTGTTAAAGATTTGGCGCACCTCATACTCCCTCCCGCAGCTCACGTTTTTTTAAGCACCATCTAGGTCGTAGGCTTAGTAGCCCAACAGGGTAGAAAAACGCGGGTAATACTACCCGCTTTTCAAGGAAACCGGGTCGGGTATACCCGGACCCGCCAGGCGGGTATTAAATTACCCGCCCCCAAATTCCGGGTCCGGTCCGGGTATTGGTCCTGGGCATGTTAACCCGACCCGTACCCGACCCGAAAATACCCGACCCGAAGTCGGGTATAGCAAAACCGGGTCGGGTCGGGTAAATACCCGGTTTTTCTAATGCCTAAACCCGGGTCTGGTTGACATTTCCTCATCTCCGACCCGACTTGACCCGACCCGACCCGACCCGAACCCGACATCGGGTAGGGCCAAGTGGGGTCGGGTCGGGTCGGATCGGGTTCATGCTCAAGCCTACCCGCAGGGGGTCGAAATTCGACCCCCCTGGAAATCGAATCCCATTTATGGTTTTTGATTTCCAGCAACCCTAAGCGCTCCCCACAGCCTCCATGCCATCCTAGCATGCCTACGCTCCATTAATGTCACTCCTTAAGTTCAGTCACTCATTTTTTAGTGTGTTTTAAGTTATTAGGGCACTGAGAAACTCGTTTTTGGGGAATACCAGCAAGCCATTAGGGGACCCAAGATCCACCAAAATGGGCGACTTAGAAGTTTTGATAAAATTTGCATGGGAAACCCCCCTACGCGAGTCAAGCCGAGCCGAGCCAAAGGCGAGACGGCCCTTGGCTCGAACCTAAAATCCCGAGTCAAGCCAGCCATTTCAGGCAGCCGGCTAGTAGACATGAGCAAAACCGGGTAATTACCCGACCCGACCCGGTTTTGCCCTACCCGCAATCGGGTCCGGGTCGGGTCGGGTCGGGTAATTTCCGGGTAATGTTTGGAGGTCTGTTACCCGACCCGACATTTTAATACCGGGTAATTGGGTACCCGTCTGTCGGGTCCGGTATACCCGACCCGCATTTAATTGAAGTCGGGTAATATTACCCGGGTACCCCTAGGTGGCTGTAAAATTCAGCAAACACAGAGTAACAAACCCAAAGTCGGGTCGGGTACCCGCGACCCGACGGGTAATAAATTACCCGAAATTTCGGGTAATTCTCGGGTAACGGGTATGCATTACCCGGCCTGAGTACCCGACCCGACCCGGCCGGGTAATTCGACAAAATCCTATTACCCGACCCGGCCAAAATGTCGGGTCGGGTCGGGTACCCGCGACCCGACCGGGTAAAATGCTCAAGTCTACCGGCTAGGGGCAAGTCGAGCCGGCTCGGCTCGACTTTTACCTGGCTCGTGGTCGAGTCGAGCTGAGTCGAGCCACGCTCGGCATGCTGCCCATGTCTAACTGGAGGTAGACATGGGTATATCTCATCGCATCGCGTTTTATCGCATTTTGCGATTGCGATTTAATAAAAATAAAATAAATAAAAAATCGCAGCGATGCGATGTGATAATATCGCGTGATTTTTGCGATATCGTGCATTTCTCGCGGATTTTTCAGTGCGATAAAACGCCATATGCGATATTAAAATATCGCGTGCCATACATCCGCATATTGCGTCGCGGAATTGCGCCAGAAAGGGGGGGGGAACATGGCGCGGGCCCTGAACTTAGCAAAAAGTGGGGTTCTCTGGTTGTAATGGCGTGCGGAAATTGCGCGCGGCTGTTTGGGGTTGGCGTAATTGACGGGGAGGTGTTTGTGAGGAGCTTGGAGAGGAAGGGTTGGAAATTCTAGTTGAAAAGGCGTGCAGTGCGGTTGAAGGAGGGGAGTTGGGTGGAGGTTCAAATTTGTTATGGGTGGTGGTGGGCGGTTGGCGAGTGGGTTTCCTGAATGGGATGGGGTGGTGTGTAAGCTTGAGCAAAGGGTCGGGTCGGGTCGGTATTCCCGACGGGAAAACCCGACCCGACGGGTTAAGTTTTTTCTAGACGGGTCGGGTTGACCCGTACCCGACATGTCGGGTTTCGGGTCAACCCGACCCGAAGTCGGGCCGTGCATCGACCCGACGGGATCTGCGCGACCAAAATCGCGCAGATATGAAATTTTGACCATTTGGTCGAAATTTTAACCCTGAACTTCCTTCCTAAGCTTCGCCCTAGCCTAAGTCAACATCCTACCTAGTTCCTTGCAAAAACAGACGGCTACTTCAGCTAGAACTAGTGTTTCCTCCCTTCCTTAGTAGGGTAAGAGATTGCCCAACGGATTTAGGCTGATGTAGATCTTCTTTTGGATGGAATCGACTCAGTACACACCCTACTCAACTCAGAAAATCGCGAACACCTCCAACCCAAGCGAATTTTCGCCAGCACCCGCAACCCACACGAATTTTCGCCAACACCCCAAACCATGCGACTTTTCGCCAACACCCCCAACCCGCACAAATTTCGCCAACGCCTCCAAACCACTCGAATTTTCGTCAACACCCCAAACCAACTAAAATCTTGTAAGCACCCCCCAACCAACGATCTTCGCCAACACCCCCAAACACGAGGAATACGTAGCGGATCTTGAAATTAGGAGGAAAAAGGCTTGTAGTCGCTGCATAGATCATTATAACTTAGGCTGCTCTAGATGCCCTTTAAAAAAGGACGGGTCGCCGTACTCGTGGTCAGGTCCAGTTAGGCTTGAGCAACGGGTCGGGTCGGGTCGGGTAACCCGACCCGAACCCGAGTTTTTGACGGGTCGGGTCAGGTTTCCCGTCGGAAGAACCCGACCCGTCGGGTTTGATTTGTACCCGTCGGGTCGGGTCAACCCGAACCCGACATGGACGGGTTCGAGTGAACCCGACATGTCGGGTTGACCCGACCCGACTTCGGGTATACATCGTCGGGTTGACCCGACCCAACCCGAACCGAAGTCGGGCCGTGCCTCGACCT